CTTTAACATGTGAATTACAACTTCTATGCTATACAAAAATATCAACCTAAACGAATTGATGTCGAATTTAAGAGAAATTCAAATGTGGTTTTAATATGTGATTATACACGATAAATTAATCGATGGATGAGCTTCCCAAAAATTAAAGTACATCAGCAAGAGTTTTAGTGTAAAATTAGAATTTTCATCATTCTAATTTGAGATTATTCTTTAAATTAAATACATTATATAAATGTTGAATATGTTATACTGTGAGTTGATTAGGAATGTTCACATTTTGATGTAAGTAAAAAAAAAGGGTAAATCAATCAAATTGATTTTTCAAATATTGGAATCAAATCAAATTAATTTAGTTGATTTTTTACTGCTTCGATTTTTTGTTGGATTTTTGATTTATTCTAGTTTTGTCAGTTTTATTTTTATAAAATATATGATAATATATTTCTAAACATGCATTAAGTTAACTATATTCCAGCATAATACTATCATAACAATTAGACTTTTTTCTAATAAAAGAAGAATATATACACTCCCTCAGTCCATCTTTACTTATCCACTATTTTAAAAATAATAATACTTGTCAAATTTGAAAAATCAAGAGATAATACCCCGTTTTGTCTATTTTTTCCTTGATATTAAATACAATTTATCATCTAATATATTTTTCAAAGCATTAGATTTAAATTATTTATTGTTTCTTAAGGTGTGTCTCGAGAGGCGAGCACAACTTTTAGCACTTAAGAAAAATTCTTACCATTGGTGATTTGGAGATTTCTACATCTTATTAGCTAGTCATAATTTTGATTAGCAAGCTGACAAAAAGTGTTATCAGGATTAGAATTATATGTTACAAGAACTTCAAATGTATTTATATCATGTTGTTGATGTTAATCGAGGCACTAAGGAATTCAATAAAATAATCTTGTAACTTTCGGAGGAAGAGTATCTTCTCGATCACTAAAGGGGGTCGAAGTGAGTAGGCCACAAACTAAACTTTGTATTGATGAATAAAAGGAATTTACAAGCAAATTATTCATCAACTTTAGTAATCAAAGAGCAAAAGGAAAGATAGAAAAAAGAGGTTTCAGTCTGGTATTTACAAATAGCTAACAAAAAGAAAATAACACGTCTTAAAACATAAGTCTTAATAATAAATTATTTTCCCCTTTTGTATATAGAGACATACGACATAACTTATGGGATGCTATGTGATACTAATATACAAATTACTTAAAAAAACAAAAGAGTTGTTTGCTATTTCGGTGTCAAGGACATAACTTGTTTACGACATAACTTGCGGGATATTATGATACGAGAATATAAACTCATGCATTACGAAATGTTGTTCTTATTCAAATATATATTTGATCACTTATTTGTTATTTAAAATGCTAAAAGATAAAAATTAAACACTATATATTTGAGGTGTGAAAAATATAGCCAGAATTTTTTGGGTCTCTACCCACCATTCTAAATTGAGAGTATATTTTAAATTAAATACATTATAAATGTTAAATACGTTATACTTAGAGTTATCAATATGGGCTGAGCCATCTCTTTTGAGCTAATTCATACAAGCTTTGAAATTTGATGGATCAGGCCGGACTGACCCATTTTTTTTTGGGCTAGAAACGGCCTACCCAATCCACAAGTACGTGGGCTGCGGGCTAGCCCACTTTTTAAAAAATATTGTTTTTATAATTTTTTAAATCAAATTATAATTTAAAAATAATATAATAAATATCGACAAGACAATATTATATTGTGTTAGTGTTACTACTTGTCAATCACATCCACAAATAAAATTATCTTTATAATATTTATTAAGTTTGATTTCAAGTAAAATATAAAAAGCTAAATCGAAATATTAACATAATTATTTTCCAATAATCACAATAAAATACAAAAAATATGACAATATTTCATCCATAAAATGGTGAATAAATAGGCTACGGCCTATATAGTGATTCCCAAGAAATTTTAGGGAAATTTAAAATTTAGTATTTAAAACTTTAAATAGATTTTGAGTTTGGACGTTTGCACTTATTTTTAATACTCTATTTTATTTTTATTTTTAATTAATTTTTATTTGGCCCATGGGCCAGCCCTATCCATATTTCTCAAGCCCTACGAATCAGCAAGCTTATTCAGGCCGGGCTAAAAAAAATATTTTCTTAAATGGACTCTAAAAATCTTAGCCCACAGGCCTAGCCCATATTGACGGATCTAATTATACTGAATACGTTATACTGCAAGTTGATTAGGGGTTCCCGCATTTTGATTTAAGTAAAAAAAATTTAAATCAATCAAATCAATTTTTCAAATATTAGCATCAAATCAAACTAATAAAGTCAATTTTTTAGTGTTTCAATATTTTTGTTGGGTTTTTCGATTCATTCAAGTTTTGTCAATTCTTTTACTCCCTCTATTCCATATTAAGTAAATTTTTGGGCCTTTTTTCATTATTAAAGTAATTAAATTGTTCAAAGTTTAAGATACATGTTTAATTTTTTGTCATATTTATCTGTTTCTTTAATGAAGTTTTATATTTTCTAGGAGATAGATTGCACTACTTACAAGTTATATTTATGATTTCACAAAGGGCCATAGTGGAAGATATGGTTTTAATTAGGAACTTAAATATATTTTTTAATCGATGTACATTGTTTTACAAATTCAGTTAATATGAAACCGAGGGAATATAAAATATATTTCTAACCACACATTAGGTGAACTATATTCCAACATAATACTACGATCTATCCTACAGTCAGCCATTTCTAAGAAATATAATAAAAAAATTTAGAATGAAGTTTTTTTTTTTGCGCAAAAAATTAAGGAAAAACTATCTAATTAAATAAGCATTCCTACCATTGTTTGAAATAATATATATTATCTCACTAATTAATAATTTTATACTAGATTTTAAGTCAGATACACCTAGGTATATGCATTTTTGCTATTAGATACACTAAAATAGAGAGAGAAAGTCGAGAGAGTTAAGAGTGAGGCGAGGGAGATTCCCATATACATGTGAATCACATTAGATACATGTATTAGACCAGATACAGGGAGAGAGGTGAGCGTGATCAAGTCAGATACATGTGAATCCACTTCATTACAGTGTATCTCAAAGAAATTACACCTCCCTATATTATCTGAGATACATGTATCTAGACGTACCTGGACACGCCAAATACATGTATCCGAAGTACAACATCTGACAAGATTCGTAATATTGTAAACTAGCGTGAATCTAAGTAATTAACTCCTAAACTAATGAAATTTTTGTAAGTTACCCAAAAATTTAAAAAAATAGTTGTGATAAACTAAAATATCTTGACTATATTTGAAATAAATAATGATAATTAATAAATGGATTCATAGACAAATTATTTTTTAACAAAATAGATTCTTGGCACTATCATAATTAGATAATTCCTAATAATTTAAAGAAATAATAAATAACTTTTTTTTTTTTTAAAAATAATATGGTTATCAAACTATGCTCATATTTCCAGCAAAGTAAAATCTAACAAAAAAATGTTTTTTATTGGAAGTTTACATGCCATCTTTAATTAGGATCCGTTTATAAATATAGTACCCCTTATATATTTACATAAGTAGGAAAATGAAACAAACCAAATGGATTCGAAGTTGATACAAATGATTCATATATATAGTTAACGTCTCATTTTATGTGATATAATTAAAATTTCAAAAATTAACCAAGTTTTTTTAATCAAAATTTCTTAATATATCTTTTAAATATTTTAAATATTTGTTTCAAAAAACTTAAAACTTTTATATCCAAATTACGATCAAATTTAGAAATTGGAGTCTCGAAATTCCAACCATGCCACATAATTAAATTGGTAAAAAAGGGTAATAATTCTCCTATTTGTAGATATTAATAGTTTTCATGTAATTCAATTCATCAATGTAAATATTCCTTAATTTCTCTTGGTAAGCAGTTTAAACAGACTATAAACTTACTAACCTTATATATCAAATCAATTTACATAGATACATTTATATGGTTACATATTTATTAGATGACTATATATACACACAATTAAATCTTATGCATAATTAATAATACATTTAACTTTTTACTACATTAATACCTTAATTACAAGTGAGAATTATAGTTGGTACTATATATAAACAACAATTTTAGAGAATGTACTATATATGTGTGTGTATTAGACAACTAAATCTTATGCATATTTGGTACTACATTAAATCTTTTACTAGATATAACAATACCTTAATTACAAGTGAGAGATTAATTAGTAATTTAGTACTAATTACTATACATGAAATAAATTTCAGAGAAATTAACTTCTAATGAATGGGCTAGAATATTTATTTCATCCGCTAAAAAAAGTAATTAAAAATGGTCAAATGAGTTTTATATAATGAGTTAAAGGGGTATTGTGTCTAAAAATAAAATCTTACAAGTATGGCATGTAAGCTTTTGTTAAAAAATGTTATTAGTTTTTATTTTGTTGGAAATATGAGCATAATTTGATGACTATATTGACCAAAAAAAATCTAAAAGATATTTTAGTGAGATATTTCTACAAGTTGAATGACCATTTGAGAAGTTCAGTCTTGAATAATCTAATAATGTGAACATAGTTAAAAATATTTGTTTCAGATAGCGAATATTCGAAATTTATTCTTTACTTTGACTTTTAAAAAAGATACTCCCCCTTCCCATTTTACTTGTCATATGCACTTTTCGTCAGTCAAACTATGTAAACTTTGACTAATATATTTTAAAGTACATTAACTTTGACCAATATTTTAAGATGCGATCAAGTCAAATAGTAAAACTTATGAGAATCTTAATTCTTAGAAAGTAAATCTAAGGAAATTAAAGAAAATAGATTATAATTTAATGCCAAAAGACCATGTCTCCTCTATATAAGCCACTATTTTCTTTACACTTTTCTCACAATTGCAATTACAATACAATTTAGTGAGTTGCAAAAATGGCCTCTTTTTTACACTTACTCCCCTCTATTCTCCTTGGCCTTTTGTTTCTCTCAACTCCAACTCTCTCTAGGAATATTATTTTTTTGGAAGATACACCAATTGCACCTTCTCCTAGTGATGACACATCAACCTCAATTAGCCCATTAGGTTCCGGAGAAATTACTATTACACCATCTCCTCAAGATTCACCGGTAGATGCGCCAGTTAGCCCACCATCTACTGGAGAAATTATTATTTCACCCTCTCCTCAAGATTCACCGGTAGATGCGCCAGTTAGCCCACCATCTACTGGAGAAATTATTATTTCACCCTCTCCTCAAGATTCACCGGTAGATGCGCCAGTTAGCCCACCATCTACTGGAGAAATTATTATTTCACCCTCTCCTCAAGATTCACCGGTAGATGCACCAGTTACCCCACCATCTACTGGAGAAATTACTATTTCACCTTCTCCTCAAGATTCACCAGTAGATGCGCCAATTAGCCCACCATCTACCGGAGAAATTACTATTTCACCCTCTCCTCAAGATTCACCGGCAGATGCGCCAATTAGCCCACCATCTACCGGAGAAATTACTATTTCACCCTCTCCTCAAGATTCACCGGCAGATGCGCCAATTAGCCCACCATCTACCGGAGAAATTACTATTTCACCCTCTCCTCAGGAACATAAACATCATCATCATCGTCGTCATCACCACCACCACCACCACCATCATCATCACCACCATCACCATGGTCATGAAGGCCACCATCATGGACATGAAGATCAACCAACACCAGCTCCTTCTCCCGAAGTTTCAAGTGATGAACCGGAAGATCAATCAACACCAGCTCCTTCTCCTGAAGTTTCAAGTGATAATTTCTCTTTCTTAATGTTGTAATGATTTAATATATGCTAGGGTTATGAAAATAGGTCAAGATTATTATGATTTTATTTGATTAAATGTTAGAAAGAATGATTTGTTATTGATTCCAATTTTCTTGGATCATGGCAAGCTATTGCCTATTGGAATATTATAATCATTCTTGAATTTCTTAATCAAGGCCTTATTATTCCCATATATCGAACTCATCGTAGATATAGTATTTTATATGACAATTTTCATTTTTTGCAATTTTTTCCTTGAATATAGTTTTAGAAATTTTCTATTGCTGTAGTAATTAATTAAGTAATAGAAGGAGTATCACATTGATCTTCATTAGAAGGATATATATATATATATATATATATATATTAATTCTATCTATATTTTTAAATAATTACATATTTTACCACTAATTAAGAGTTTTTAAAAATCATATATTGACGAAGATACACCTAAATAAATATATTTTTGATACCAGATACACTAAAACAGGAGATAGGCGAGCTAGATAGGGAGAGAGACGATATTTATGTATTCCAAATACATGTGAATCACACTAGATACACATTACATACATATTTTTATATGTATCTGGTGTGATTCACATGTATATGTGATATCAGATACATAGGGAGTGGTGAGCGAGATGGAAGGGAGACGAGGGAGGCGAACAAGATCTGTTTATGAATCCCAGATACATGAGAATCTACTTAATACCATGTATCTGAAACAAATTATACCTAGTTTTGATCTTATGTATATCAAGATACATGTATCTGGATGTATCTGGATGCACCAAGATCGGATAAGATTCGTAATATTCTAAACTAGAGTGTATCTAAGTAATTAGCTCCTAAACTAATGAAATTTCTCTAAAAAAAAATGGTCAAGGAGTAATTCAAAGTTGAAACAGGAAACTTAAACTATTTAGACTTTGTGGTCAAATTCGTATGAAAATAAGTTTTTAAATTTCTAATTCAAAATAATTTTTGTACTATTATTATAATTATAACTATAACTATAAATTACGATTTACTTGGCGGAGATAATTTAGATTCATGAGACTATAGACTATAGTGAACACTTTTGGGGGCTAATTGTATCTTTCATTTAAAAATAAAAAAATAGAGAAAAGCATTATATGGTTAGTGTTTTTGTTCTTTGACATTAATTTTAATTCCTCTTAAGGTTATCGTCCAAGTAGTTATAATTTTAGCCATATCTCTCCCCTATAAGATCATATTCCATTCACCTCAATTTAATAATCACTTGAGCTCAAAATAATTATTCTAATATAATAAATAATAATCATTTAAAAAATTTATAGCGATAGTTAAAAATGAGGAGAGAAGGGAGTATTAACGGGAATTTCTTTGTTAGAAGGTCACTTCGAAAACTCAATTAGAAAATTAGACATAAGACTTAATTATGTTCTATAGCTATAATTTGCTAATTACGATTTAATTGGACACACGATAATTAGTTGAGAACAAATAATAATAGGGGAATTTTCGCATATAGCCACTCAAAAATAGCTTAATTATGCTCCATAGCTATAGTTTGCTAATTACGATTCATAGCTACATGTTACAGGGGGGAGAGTGGCGAGCGAGATTGGGAGAGTGAGGAGCGAAACAAGCGAGAGAGGGCAGAGAGTGGAGAGCTAGAGGTGAATTGTATATGTATATCATTTAGATAATTGTATATATGTAACTACTATGTATATGTATCAGTTATTGTATTTGTATACCTGCATACAATATGAATTCGTATACAATTGAATCAAGTTAAAACGTTTGTATTTGTATATCCAACCTCTCTCTCACTTTATACAAACACAAATTATACAAATACAGAGTATAATTTGTGTTTGTATAAAGCGAGAGAGAGAAAGATAAAAGAGAACTGGGCAAGAGAAGATTTGTATTTGTATAATTATAAGTCATGTATAGGTAGAGAGATATGTATTTGTATATCCCGTCTCTCTCTCTTTATACAAAAACAAATACAAATTACACATTTGTGTTTGTATAAAGTGAGAGAGATTGGTAGAAGAGAAGAGAGATTGGGCAGGGAGAGGAGAGAGGCGAGGGAGAGATGACTAAAAAAGAGGAGAGTGGCGAGAGAGATTTCGGATAGAGGGGAGAGAGAGAGAGGAAGAGAGGCGAGAGGGAATGTAATTGTAGCTAGAAGTAAGTTTCGAATTGTAATTAATGCAAACTGTAGCTATGTTAGCTAATTGACTAGTATATGTTAGCTTAACCGCATAATTTTCCCATAATAATTTTATTTTGGAGTAAATGGGCCTTAAAAGATGTTCTTGTTGTCAATAATAATTTCTTGGATAATCTAAATAATATATATAAAAATTAACGATAAGTATTATAAGTAGCAATTATTCTAATATCAATATGATGAAAAAAATACATTTTTAAAATATTGGTCAAAGTTTATATCGTTTGACTCTTTAAAAGGAAACCGTGGCAAGTAAAAAGGAATGGAGGGAACAATACTTTTTACGTAATTTCCAAATGTGTATCTTTTATTTTAAAAAACTAAAAGATTCAATGTCCAAATGTATAGTCAAAATTAAAAAGTTTGAATCTCGAAAAGTAAAAAATAGGAAAAACTACATAATTAGACATATTCAACTACCATACATAGTATTATTACATATATTTTTAAAATATTACGTATTTTACTACTAATAAAGAACTTTCTGTCATATATTGAAGAAGATATATACATGGATTTTTGCTACCAAATACGTTAAAACAGGGAGAGAGGAGAGCGAGATAGGAAGGAGGACGAACAAAATTTGTTATGTATCCAGATACATGTGAATCACACTAGATACATGTCTTTGTCTGTATCCGGTGTGATTCATATGTATCTAGGCTATAAGATGCATAGGAGAGTGAAGAACGAGATGGGAGGTAGGCGAACCAAATACATGCGAACTCACTTGGACACAATGTATCTAGAACAAATTACACATAATTTTGACCTCATGTATTACATGTATTTGGACGTATGTGGACGCACCAAAATCTGATAAGATTCATAATATTACAAACTAAAGTGTATCTAAGTAATAAACTCTTGAATTAATATGATTTATGTAAATTTTCCTACAAAATATCACATAAATTAAAACAAAGTTAATAAAAGATACTAATGACATCTATAATATGCAATCTTGTTAGACAGTTGGTAGCATTAAAGTTTAATTACTCTTTTCAAATTTCTATTTGACTAATTATGCTTAAAAATTAAAATCATATTATTTCCTCCTCTCTTTTTTCGTTAACTCTGAAGTTTGACCCTACTCCTTTTCACACAACCATCATCAATATTTCAACCAGATTTCTACCATGAGTTCAGACTATATTTTAAAAAGTCTATTGGACTTAAAATTTCTTTAATATAACTAAAAACATTCTTTAATTCATTCTAGTTGCTGTGCATATTTAAAATAATTGATCTAAAATAGCTGTTATTTTAGAAAATTAAATTATTAATTTGCACCTTTTTCCTTAATAAATATGGAGAGAAAAAAAATAATAAAACGGAAAATAAAGTAATATTAAATTGAGATTAAAGAAAAAAACTGATAATTTAGTCAAATTATTGTATCTATTTAATTAATGTTTTCTTAAGAATATAAATGAAAAACAATGACAAGTAAATTGGACTCAAGTACTTGTACTTTAATGCTACCAATGGTCTAACATTTGAGTCAATGTGGAGTAAATGCAAGTAAACACAATACAATGAGGAGATAATGCATAATTTAATTCCACTAAACACTCTTCAACTATATAAGCCAATGTTTTCTTCATAGTTTTTCATCATTAGCCAACTCATTAGTGATTCACAAAAAAAATGGCTATTTCACATTCACATCTTTGTCTTCTCCTTGGCTTTGTCTTGCTTTTTACTCCAACTCTTTCCCTAAGAAGAGACTACTTCTTTAGAAATGGACCAAATGTTAATGATGATCATCTAGATATCCTTCATGATAAAAAATTCCCAATAAATTTTTTGTCTGCTTTTGATGATCTTTCGATTACCCCTCCTCCTCCGGATGAATCTCCTGATGTGGCAAGTCCGGTTGTTTCACCATCTCCAGAAGAAACCTCAGGTAGTGCACCACCTCCAGAAGAAACCTTAGGTAGTGCACCACCTCCAGAAGAAACCTCAGGTAGTCCACCACCTACAGAAGAAACCCCCGTTACTTCACCACCTCCGGAAGAAACCCCAGGTACTCCACAACCTCCAGAAGAATCCCCCGGTACTGCACCACCTCCAGAAGAAACCCCAGGTACTCCACAACCTCCAGAAGAAGCCCCCGGTACTCCACAACCTCCAGAAGAAGCCCCCGGTACTGCACCACCTCCAGAAGAAACCCCCGGTACTCCACCACCTCCAGAAGAAGCCCCAGGTAGTTCCCCACCTCCAGTAGATGCCCCTGGCAGTTCGCCACCTCCGGCACAAACCCCCAGTACTTTACCATCTCCGGCACAAACCCCCAGTAGTTCACCATCTCCAGCACAAACTCCTAGTAGTTCACCATCTCCGACACAAACCCCCAGTATTTCACCATCTCCGGCACAAACCCCCAGTAGTTCACCATCTCCAGCACAAACTCCTAGTAGTTCACCATCTCCGACACAAACCCCCAGTATTTCACCATCTCCGGCTCAAACCCCCAGTAGTTCACCATCTCCAGCACAAACTCCTAGTAGTTCACCATCTCCGACACAAACCCCCAGTAGTTCACCATCTCCGGCACAAACCCCAAGTAGTTCACCATCTCCGGCAGAACCCCCAACTATTCCACCACCTCCGGAAGAACCCCCAATTATTCCACCACCTCCTGTAGAACCCCCAACTATTCCACCACCTCCACCGCCAACTCCTCCGCACCACCACCATCACCACCACCATCACCACCACCATCATCACCACCATCACCACCACCATCATCATCACCATCCACCTCCTTCTACAGAAGTTTCAATTCAAGATCCTGATCAGTCTATGATTTCGGACAATATCAATTAATTAGTCACCCTTATGCATACAATGCTTAGAAAAACAATCTAAATCTAAGAGTACAACAAAACAAATTTAAAAACTAGAGTTTAATTAATTTGCTATGTTGTTTTCCGTGAACATGTATTATCAGTTACATGGCCTGATCAATTTGTTCTAATTTGCCCTTTCCTGACTAATTAAATTATGATATATAAACGTTACTGATATTACTATATTCTATGTGGATTCAATTAATCTTTTAATCCTCTTCCTCTAAAAAACAAATAATAATTTTGTAGATTATTCCAATCAACCTCTCACTAGATTTGTTTTAATAACAAATTATGACGATTCATCATGATTTTTTGTCAAGAACATCAACACAACTATTCAAAAGTTCTTAGTTATCTCTCAAACATTACAAAATTAATTGATAACAAATACATATTACATGAAAACAACCAATTGTTCTCACTTGGTATACATTTTTTGTAATTTAAATTAGGGTTATTAGAGGAAAGGGAAACGGGGTCTGGGGAGATTACAAGTAGGGGAATTGAACCCTCACAAACAAGCTGAAAGTTCAGATAGCCAACAAACCAAGCTACGTACTAAGAGAACAATCCTTGAAGTTGTTTCACCATTTTCTTGTCCAATTGAAATGCTTTTGAAAGAACATCATCTACAAGTGGTGGGTTTGTTCCAAATAATTCACTTCCAACCACAATTAGCCCAGCATTTTGGCTATTCAAAGCACCAAAAACAATTGCATTTGTATCTCCAATATTATATTGAAAATGAATTAATCCTTGTGGGAACACAAATACATCCCCTTTATTCAATATTTTTGTAAATGATTTAGTTTTTAATGGATTTGAAGTATCCGGAGCCAAAAATCCAACGTAGAGCGTACCCTCTAAGACAACAATAATTTCCGTGCCACGAGGGTGTGTGTGAGGTGGAATTAAGCCATATGGTGCAAAATCGATACGAATAAGTGAAATTCCAAGAGTGTTGAGTCCTGCAAGACGATTTATATCGACTAAATTTACAAACGATCCCAATCCTGGTAAAGGATTTCCACTAACGTTAAGCCCTGTAACAAAGAAATCATCTGCTGTGGCCAATTTTGGATCTTTGCAAATTTTTCCATTCACGAACACTGCAAAATAAATTATAACAAAAAGAAAAAGAGTTTAACTTCTATAGATCGAAGATCGAAGGAACGTTTGGTTCATGAATATGAAATATAAAGTGGGATTGTAATATTTGGAAATATTTATTGAATTAAAACACACGTGTTTGATTTGAAACAAGTTTCTATTTCCAATTTTAGCCTTAACTTTCTTAAAAGACCTTGATAAAAGGGCTATGGAAGAAGGGCATATTTGTCATTTGATTATTTTGTTATGGTATTACCAAGATTAAAATAAAAAATAGTTCCGAGATTACTTCACTTGAAATAGAAAATTTCAATCAAGTATAGGATAAGATACTTTCATATTTTATTATGGAATTATTTTTCTTATCCTGATACTAACGTCCCCTGTAATATAAATATTTTTTTATATTATTATCATACTTTTCATCGAACAATATAACTACATATAATTGTTCGTAACGAATGAAGTGGAATTTTACCTGCAGTATTGGAATCAGTAGCTGCAACACAAAAATCTTGAAAAGGGTTTGGATCAAATGAAGAACCAAAGGAAGAAAGAAGACCAAAAGTGACTACAATAATTGTTAGGAGGCAAAAAGCCATTGAAATTTTTTTCTTATTATTTTTTTAGGGATGATTAATAGAAAAGCTAATAATAAGGTAGTTGAATTTATACTGAAAAATCTGAGCCTATTTATAGATATATAAAGTTGTCACTATTTTTAATATTATTTTTTTTAATGTTGAAGTGACGAAAATAGTCATTATTTTTGGAGTAGGTTCAAAGTAATGTCGAAAATATATTTCCGAGTAATTTTGGTCATTTAAGTTTGTCAAAAATGAGGATTTTTGATTTATACACATTTTTTCAAAACTGAAATTGTGACAAAAAGATTTAATTAGGAATCTGCGATCAAATCCTAGAAACTACAACACAAAAAAATATACGAAATATCAAAACTTGATTAAAAAAAATAATATAGCATAAGTTGCACTTTATTATTTTTCTCTTGTTTTTACCTATATGCATTTAACTTTGAAATTAAGTTTCTTACAAAGAACTCTTCTTTTTTTTTCAAATTGTTTCTTCTTCTTGTTACTTATTATATTTGATAGACTTATTCTTTCTTGAAAATAGCCACATTGATAATAACTTGTTTGTGACATATAAACCTCATTCATCTATATTACCTTGCTCACTTAAAATAAAAGAAAAATTAGAAGTTGATATTTTACCTTAATTTAATATCAAATTCTTGTTGATTGATACTTGATATCATGCAGTTAGGGAATAAATAAATTAATTAAGTTCTAGGTGAGTTGATAATTTAGTGATCAATAAAATTGACAACCTATATATTCTATGAAGAGTATTTTGAATTTGGTCAATTTCTTAACATTGCATTCACCATTCTACCCTTCATTTTTAATGTTATGTCATCCTAATTAAGATGTTTCTGAATGGTCCATGAATTTTTAAATTGGTCATATATTGAATCGTCAAATAAAAAAAATAAAAACATAGGTGCTATATAAAAGTATGTTTGTCACACATTTGCAAGAATCTTCTTAGCTTTTTTCAAATATTTGTTTAGTAATAAAGACCTTGTTACATAATTAGAAACATAAAACAAACAAGTCATCATATATCCTAGGTGAATTTCTTCAACATACAAAACAACATTTGTAGTGACATAATCTAGGAGAATTTCTTTTGAAGTTCTTTAATCACATTCTTATCAAGCTGAAAACCTTTGACAAGAGCATCGTCGAGAATAGGTGGATTAGAAGCAAAGATTATATCAGGAATCAAGATGAATCCGGGACTTTGACTGTTGAAACTAGCAAATAAAGTAGCATTTGTACTTCCAACATTATACGCGAAGTGAATAAGCCCTTGTGGAATCACAAACACATCACCAGGATTCAAGATTTTAGCAAAGAGACGACTCTTATAGATGTTTTCTTCATTAGGTAGAAGTAGAAGAAATCCCGAATAAATTATACCCTCCAAGATATGTATCATTTCAGTAGCTCGAGGGTGCGCGTGAAATTGAATAAAACCCTTTGGTTCGAAATCAGCGCGAATTATAGAAATGCCTAAAGTATTGAGCCCTGGCATATTATTTATATCCACAATTTTTGTAGCATAACCATATTTTTTATCCACTACTTCTCCACTTATATTAAAACCTGAAGTAAAAAAATCATCTGCTTTTGCAAGCTTTGGGTCTTTGCAAATCTTTCCATTCACAAAAACTACACAAGTGAAAATAAAATGAATTAAGTTAGCATATTATTAAGATATTAAGAGATAACATATTACATAAACTCAAATTATACAACATATATAATTGTTTGAAATAGGGGGAAAGAAAGAGAATTAGCACTTGAGCCTATACTTAATTAAGTGGACATTAGCAAATATTAGAAAATTATCCTTACAATCGTTACACACGGATCTAATGTTTTTCTCATTTATTTCTAAATTTTAATTTATAGACAAAACATCAAATTGTTGTCTAATAGCCTTTCAGTTTGTTCAAAAAAAAATCTTTAGACGGTAATTTAAGAAGTCTATAAACTATAAGTCAAATAAAAAAGATAGTCATTTACTAAATAGATGTCTAAAAAGGAACAATTGGTGAAAAATTCTCTAAAGGTAGAAGTGTTGGCACATTATCTATCGACTTTCTTTGAACCGTGCGCCATTAACCCTCTAAGATTTCTCGATGACAAAACAAAAGGTGTTATTATACAATATAGTTGTCACTATGGGTGGCAATTTCAGTCCATATAAGTGAAATGAATCCATTTTTCCATATTAAATTAAATGGATCACTCATATTTTCTTAAATGGGTAAATATGGACTTCAACCTATTTAAGTTCATACAAATATATGAACAAAATGGGTAAGCATGAGAATCCATATATCACTCACTTATCATAAAAATCCCTAATTGCACTTGAAAATAAAAACATACAAAATTGTGATTTTTTGGCTCTGGGTGGGAGGTGTCCTGGGGTGGGGTGGGGGAGGGGGGAGGTAGGGTTGGAAAAATTCAAAAAAAAAGAAATTAATTGTTTTCTTTTTAAAGTTTTTTTGGGGGGTTGAGGGGAGGTGGGGCTGGTGGGGTAGGGTTGACAAAAAAAAATTCAAAAAAAAGTTAATAAAAAAATAAGTTTTTGAGAAAAGAAAATTGGGGTGGGGAGTGGTCGTGGGGGTGGGTGGAATGGGGCGGGGGTACAAGGTAATTTTTTTATATTTTTAAAAATAATATTACAACGGTGGGTGGGGTTGGGTGGGGTGGGGTGAGGTGGTAGGGGTTGGGGTATTAACAGCTTAGCTTTGATTTAATATTTTTTGGCTTTAAGAGATTAAAATCATGTGTTACAATCATTTTATCAAACTATATTTGACAGAATCCACATTTACCCATATTTTATATGTATGGATTGTGATTCAATCCTCCAAATCCGATCCAATCCATCCATTTGTCACTCCTAGTTGTCACCTAAGATAATATTCAACAAATATATAACATACGTACCATAGACATCTAATTTATGTATATATGACTAGCGTTGGTCGATCAACCAAATGTGTAACTTAAAATATTATCATGATTATAAAAGGATGATTTACCAGAAGTGTTGGAGTCTTGAACTGCAACACATATGTCTTGTAGAGGATTGACATCATAGGCATAAGCTAATTGGGATGAAAACAAAGCAGCAATGGCTAAAATTGTTATAAACCAGCTCATGCTAATTGTTGATTTCATTTGTAGCAAGGTCTACGTTCAATTAATTTTGAAACAAGTTTTTTTTTTTTGCTTAATTGGGCTTTGTCTAGTGCTATATATAGTTGTCTTAGTATTATTCCTTTATTTAAAGGATAAAGTCCACATAATTTTCAGAGTTTATTATTCTTTAAGGATAAAGTCCACATAATTTTGATTTTTTTACTTTATTGAAAATGGGTACCAATCATAAAAATTCTATTAGAAAACACTTAAAACCTTTTTACCCACTATTTTTTATTTTCACTATATTTTTCTTTTGAAAATTTATTCGAAAATTTTCATTTAAACTATATTTAATGTTTTTTATTACAGAAAAGTTCATTCAAAATAATCAAATATTATTTGCGAAAACTATAGTCAAGCATAAACTTCAACTACAACTTAAAAAAATTCAAATTAAATTGGGGGGGGGGGGGGGATTGTAATAGTATGTAGTAGCTTGTATATGAAATCTAATTAAAATATTATTTAACTAGAGCTGTCAATATAAGCTGGTCCACCCCACCGGGCTAATCCATACATGCTTTGAAATTTTACGGATCAGGTCAGGCTAGCCCATTTTTGGTGTGGGTCAGAAAATGGTCGGCCCAGCCCACAAGTACGCGGGCTACCGCCCTCTTTTCTTGAAAGGATATTTTTTAATAATTTTTTAGATTAAATTATAATTTAAAAATATTATCATAAATATCGACAAGACAATATTACATGGTGTTAGTGTTACTACTTGTTAATCAAATCCACAAATAAAATTATCTTTATAATATTTATTAAGTTTGATTTCAAGTAAAAGCATAAATAGCTAAATAAAATATTAACCTAATTGTTTTCCAATGATCATAATAAAACACAATATTCCATAGGCTACGGCCTATGTAGTGATTCCCTAGAAATTTTAGGAAATTTTTATTTTATGTTGTACATATTTTATAAACATAATTTGTATTTAAATCGTAATATTTCAAACTTTAAAAAGATTTTGAGTTCAGACTCTTATTATTTTTAATACTATATTTTATTTTTATTTTTTAATTAATTTTTATTTGGCCCACAGGTCTGCCCTATCCATATTTCTCAAGCCCCACAAATCGGCAGACTTATTTAAACCGAACTAAAAAATCATTTTCTTAAATGGGCTCCAAAAATCGTAGCTCAGCCCTATCAAATTACAATTAGGTCAAGCCGGCCCAACGGGCCTAGCCCATATTGACGGCTCTATATTTAACTATCTATTTTGAGATATTACTCTTTAAGAGCATATTCAATTGTGTATACTTCAGGTAAATTAGCCAAGTTAGATAATTTTACTAATTTTTAAAAGTTTGGGGTATAAACCATATTTTTAAAAAGTTAATTACATTCAAATTCTAAATTTTCTCTGCAAAAACTATGGCCAACCACAACTTCAGTTCCAATTCCAACTTCAAAAAAATTAAATAAAAAAAATATATATATAATGTTCATGAACAAACGCGGACTTATCATTTGCTAAAAATGGAAGTCAAGATAATTTTCTCATTTTAAAATGCAAGCCTCCAGTTCAAGAAGTAATAATTAATCAAGAATCTTGTGATGGTTTTGTGCTCTAATTAGTGGTCAACTTATTCACAGCTATAAGCACGTTTGGAAATAAATACTTAATTATCAAATTTAAATACCTTGACAAATAATCAAAGGTTAGTCAACTGGGACATTTTGCATAAAAGTTTGGAATTTTTTTAGCGAAGTTCACGATTGATCAATTGTAAATCTAAACACGTTGTCCTAATTTAGTATGTGCTAATAATTACTCCATCCGTCCCATCTTAATTGTCACTTTAGTAAATTGTCATTTTAGAACGGGTAAAGTGTTATGAACTAAGTCCAACCCAATAGGAATACCAAGGTCACACAAGTAGTTATTGGACTGGAAAGAGCTATTGGGCCGAGAAAAAGCAATAGGGCAAGATTAATTTGGAATTCGGGTCGAGTAGTGGGTGTGAGAATGGTTCCATCATAAGGGGTAACGGTCACTGATTTAGGAATTATGCATAATGAAGAAAATGTTTGTCCTCTCTTCTTCTTCTAGAGTCTAAGCTTCTTATCTCTATCGTTAGTTATTTGTTATTTTCATATTTCTATTGTAATTCAGTAGTTTGGGTATAAAAAATAACGATTCTAAAGTTGTAATCACGTTCAAATTCATCTATCAATTTAGTAAGCAATTGGGTTTGTTACAGAAAGGCGCATATGCCACTTCCGATTGACAAAAGGTTCGTCTATGCCATCTGTTAAAAGTTTGGCTCATCTATGTCATTTCTATTTGAGAAAAGGCTAATCCATGCCATCATTTGTTAACTGAAATGACATACATGAGCAAAATTTTTAACGGATGACATAGATGAGTCTTCTCTAATAAAGTTCGGTAGCATATTTGAGCTTTTTCCCTTTCAAAAAATAATTTAATTAATGACGTAGCCTAATCATATTTGACCACGTGTAAAAAATAGTTTTGCAAAATCGGAACTGTTTTCAGCTAACAAATAATGACATGGATGAACCTTTTCTCAAACTGAAATGACATAGATGAGCCAAACTTTTAACAAATGACATGATAAATAAGTGTTTTCTCAAAGTTCGATAACATATTTTAACATTTGATTTAAATAAGTGAAGCTACTAAATATCACATCACAGGATATAATTACTTATTTTTATCACATTTGCAAGAATCTTTATTACAAAAAACCTAAATTACATGATGGAACATAAACAATTTGAAACATACAACAAACAAGTGATCATCCTAGGTGAATTTATTCAACATACAACAACATTTGTATAGTGACATATAACCTAGGACAATTTATTTAGTACATAATTATATAATTCTAGTAACATAACCTAGGCAAATTTCTTTCGAAGTTGTTTAATCACTTTCTTATCAAGCTGGAAACCTTTGGCAAGAGCATCGTCGATAATAGGTGGATCAGAAGCAAATATTATATTAGGAATCATGGTAAATCCAGGATTTTGACTGTTGTAAGTAGCGAGTATAGTAGCATTTGTACGTCCAACATTATACTGAAAGTGAATAAGCCCTTGTGGAATCACAAACACATCACCAGGATTCAAGATTTTAGAGAAAAGACGACTCTTAAAGAAGTTGTTTTCATAAGGTAGAAGAAATCCCGCATAAAGTGTACCCTTCAAGATAGTTATAAGCTCAGTAGCTCGAGAGTGCGTGTGAAGTGGGATAAGACCCTTTGGTTCGAAATCAGCACGAATTATAGAAATGCCTAAAGTGTTGAGTCCTGGCATATTGTTTACACCAACAATATGCACAGAATAACCATACATTTGCCTCACTACTTTTCCACTTTCATTAAGTCCTGAAGTAAAAAAATCATCTACTTTTGCAAGGTTTGGGTCTTTGCAAAACTTTCCATTCACAAAAACTGCACACAAGTGAAGTAAAATGATGTTACCATATTATTAACATATTACATAAATTCAAATTATACAACATATGGTATAAAATAAGGAAAATAAAAATAAGTTACAAGTCCAAGGGCTTTTGTCCAGTGGTAAGAGTTTAGCGCGTGACGTGAGAGTTACGTTGCACATCATGGATTCAAACTTGTTATAAGTAAAAGCTTAGTACTTAAGTGTATATTGTCCCACTTAGATTTTATTCCTGTTTTTAAAAATTGAGCAAATATTACTCTTAGAAAACTATTCTTTTAGACAACATTCGACTCGGATCTAATGTTTTTCTCATATACTATTAAATTTTATAGATAAAACATTAGACTGTTGTCTAACATTTATAATAACTTTAAAAAAAATTAGTCTTTCAGTTTGTTCAAAAAAAATCTTTAGATTATAGTCCAAGAGGTCTATAAGTTGCAAGTAAAATAAAACGATGGTCATGATTTACTAAACAGATGTCCTAAAAAGGAACAATTGGTGAACATTTCTTCAAAGGTAAAGGTATAGACACATTATCCATCGACTTTGGAACTAAGCACCACTAGCCCTAGAAAATTTCTCAATTACAAAAAAAGAAGAAGATATTTTATGTATTGTATAGCTGTCAAACAAAATAATAGTCGATAAATACATAACATACGTAAAATATATATCTAATTTATATATATATGAGTTGGTCGACCGATCAAATATGTAACTTGTCAAAAAAAAAGAAGTTGTGATGACTATAAAAGGATGATTTACCAGAAGTGTTGAAGTCTTGAACTGCAACACATATGTCTTGTAGAGGATTGACATCATAGGCATAAGCTAATTGGGATGAAAACAAAGTAGCAATGGCTAAAATTGTTATTAACCACCTCATGCTCATTGTTGTAACAAATTAAAGTCTAATTATATTAAATTTGGAAACAAGTTTATTTTGCTTAATTTGGCTTGTTATACTTTTTATTTTTTCCAAGAGAGATATCTAGTACTATTTATAGGTGTCTTAGTCATATATCTTAAGCAAAGTCTAGTAATTTTCTCATTTTTAAAATGCAAGTTTAAGTTCAAGTGGTAACAATTAATTAATCTCATTATCTTTTTTCCCTCTAATCAATGGTCAAAGTCAATAGTCAATTTATTCACAATTACTCTCTGCACATGTCTGGTGAGTTTTTTTTTTTTTTTTTTAAGTTTTAGTTAGGGTTTGATATTTGTATTAATACTCGACTATTTAGGAGTTACGACCAATTTGGTTACCTTTTTTGAATTCTTGTTCATGTTATTTGAAAATTATCGTTTGATCAAATATCCAACTCGGATTTATATGATATGACCAATCAATAGATTCACCTCATTTATCTATCATAGACCAAGGATTTTGGTGTTGATTACACTAGGGGCTAGCTACTGAGGAAGCAAAATAAGCCATGCGACGATAATCAAGAGGTTTTCACTGAGCATATTTCTAAATTGAATAGCAAAATGACAGGAATTTGTATAAATCAGATATAGATATATCCATCTATAGTGAATTGTGGATTTCGAAATAATAAGATCTTTTTTGTTTGGACAAAAAAATGTCTCTTATAGAAGCTTTGTCACTCTTATCTACGATAGCTTCAAACTCTACTTAAGGTCCTTTCATATGATGGGAATTGTCAATGTATTGTGCGAGCTGCAATTAGTTTGTCACTAAACCTATTTCTAAATATTCTTTGCAAAAAATATGGTTAAATACAACTCTAATTCTAATTCCACATTAAATTTTTTAATTAAAATAAAATAAAAGTATTTAATTTCTATGACTAAACGCCCAACTTATAGTTCGATCTGATAAGTTTAATTTTAATATCCCTTTTGCCCATCTTAGTCATTTGTTAAAAATGAAAGTCAAGGCAATTTTCTCATTTTAAAATGCAGGGTCAAGTTTAAGTAGTAACAATTAATCAAGAATCTTGTGATTTAATTTATACTCTAATCATTCAATAGTCTACGGTCAACTTATTCACAACTCTACGCTTATGCATGGTAAATTTACACATTCAAAAGTGTGTTAATTTGTAGAAATTAAACGTAAGAATTTACGCATCGAATGTTTACATCAATCAATGAATATAAGATTATTTTTTTCACATACACATTTATCGCTAAACCATGAGTAAGTGATGTATTTTTACTTTAATTTTTAATTGCTACGATAATTTTATTGATTTGATATAAATCGCAGGTCGAAATCAAATACCTTTACAAACAATCAAAGGTTAGTCAATTGGTACATTTCGCCAAAAAGTTCGGAAAAATGAGAGAAAAGTGCACTATTGATCAATTGTTAATCGCAACATGTTGTGTTAATTTAATATTTGCTAATAATTACTCCACCAGTCTCATTTTAATTGTAGCTTTAGCTCAAAAAAATCGTTGACTATAAATGGATGATTTAGATTTTTTGAACTTTGATTGTGAGTTTGAATGTAAAAGCTTTACTGAAAAAATTACTATAACTCACAATAATTGACAATTTGTTTATAGTTGTGTCAAACTATTGGAGATGTAACACTATTTATAGTTAGATCATTTAGCACCCAAAGTTGTGGTAAATGTCATTTCATTTTTAATCAGAAGTTTTAAGTTATAATATTTTTAATTTCTCATCATATACCTATATCCCTTTGTCGAAGATGTTGAATTCAGTTGAATCCGATAGTTACGTGTTCCATCCCCCTCTTGGGAAGGGGAAGAAGTTGGGAAAATAGTTTGGTTGTATAATGTAAGCTACATAGAAGAAGAGAAGACTCACTAATTAAAACATACAACCATATGCTATGCTTTCTTTCATTGTTTTCTTCTTCTTTTATTTGGATTTGATGCACTTGAATTAATGATCTTTCGAAACAGCTTTTCTATCTTCAAAAGGTAGTGGTAAGGTCTACGTACACTATACTCTCTCCAAACCTCCACTTTGTGAGATTTCACTTGATATGTTGTTGAAATAGTGGAATAATGTTGCACTAACATTGTGTCTTACGTTATATTGAAAGTGAATACGCCTCCTAAGGAACCACAAGAACAAACGCAAGGATTCAAGATTTTAGAGACGAGATGAGTACCCTCACATCAATCCATTGAATCAGGAATGAGAAATTAAAACCGGGATGTAAATGAACACCCACAAGTATAGACAAAGTAAATTCGATATCTACCTTACCATGTCCACCCCTAATTACATTACGAATTTATCGACTTAATTTCGCTTTTCATAAAATTAACAACATGATGGTAAGAATTAGGGAAATGTCAGCTTCCATAAATGAATAAGTTCACTCCAAATACTGGAAAAATACATACAATTAGAGAATAACGTATTATTCCAACGCTTTCACAAATCGCTAGTGATGAGCATCGCGCTCCAAACAACTTCCAGTAAACACACAAATCATATTTGTAATGTCATAATCTAGGAGAATTTCTTTCGAAGTTCATTAATCACTTTCTTATCAAGCCGGAAGCCTTTAGCAAGAACATCGTCCAGAATAGGTGGATCTGAAGCAAAGATTGTACTAGGAATCATGACGATTCCAGGATTTTGACTGTTGAAAGAAGCAAGCAGAGTAGCATTTTTGTGTCCCACGTTATACTGGAAGTGAATAAGCCCCTGTGGGATCACAAACACATCACCAGGATTCATGATTTTAGAGAAGAGACGACTCTTAAAGATGTTTGCAGCATCAGGGGCAAGAAATCCTGCATAGATAGTACCCTCTAGGATAGTTATGAGCTCAGTAGCTCGAGGGTGCGTGTGAAGTGGAGTGAGACCCTGTGGTTCCAAGTCAGCACGAACTATAGAAATACCAAGAGTGTTGAGTCCAGGCATCTTGTTTACATCCACAATATTTGCAGCAAAGCCTAACTGAGGCACTGCATTTCCCCTAACATTAAGACCTGAAGCAAAGAAATCATCCGCTTTTGCAAGCTTCGGGTCTTTGCAAATCTTTCCATTCACTAAAACTGCACAAGTCAAATAAAAGTTAATGAGTTCCTACAATAAGTTCAGATTCACAATCAAATATTTATAGATATTCAGTAAATTTCTTAATATATATACAGTCTAAACAAAAGCTAACCGGTGAACCCACAAGTTGTTATGTGGATCCGTTACTGGCTAAGCATATTATTCAAATATTAATACAACAGATAACAATTATGCCTTGTTCGCAAACAAAAACTATATAAGGATGATTCACCCGAAGCCTTAGAGTCGTTAACTGCAACACATAGATCTTGTAGAGGGTTGAGATCATAAGCATAAGCAGGGGAAAGAAAGAAAGCAATGATGGCTAAAGTTGTTAAGAACCAGCACATCCTCATTGTTATAGCAAAGTTTGTTTCTTAGCGAAAGACCGAACTTTTTCTGGAAACAAGTTTGTTTTACTATGGACTTGTTATGATATTCTTCAAACAACCAGAAAGGTGGGACTATTTATAATCTGATCCAAAAAGATAGTGTAGGTATTTTCCCATTTCTAAATGTAGATTTAAGTCCAAAGAAGTGACCTTTAATATAATCAGTAGTCAAAAAGTCGTTCATTAATTAGATCAGCTTCATTACCTAAATGGGTTGAATAAAGAGAAGAACTTGCCTTGAAAAGTAGAGATTGAAGGTCTATTTATTTCTTGATTACACAGAATCAGAAGTAACCAACCATTCTTTTCAGGGATGTAAGTGGAGCTTTCATGGTTGTTCAGATATAACATCCTCAATAAACAACTATCTTATGCTTTCAGGAGTGTAGGTAGAGCTGTACTAGTTGTTCAGATGTAACAACGTCAATAAACAACTACCTGATGTGAGCATATGTTGTGGATTCACTACACCAAAAATGATCTTACGCAGCAATTAATTAATGGCAATAACTTAATTGCCGCTAAATATGTTTTTTTAGTGACAATTACATCTTAACACTCTTGAGTATATGCCGCTAAAGCTTATAGCGACATTGGATCTAATGACAATTAACTAATGCCGGTAAAGGGTTTAAACACTCTTTGTTAATGTGCATAAGCAAGGAAATCATCCACTTTTGCAAGCTTGGAGCTAAGCATGTAATTCATATATTAAGAGCTAACAGACGACAGAAATTATACAGCATACAACAACTATAGAAGGATGATTTACCCGAAGCTTTAGAGTCGTTAACTGCAACACATAGATCTTGCAGAGGGTTGAGATCATAAGCATAAGCAGGGGAAAGAAAGAAAGCAATGATGGATAAAGTTGTTATGAACCAGCACATCCTCATTGTTATAGCAAAGTTTGGTTTCTTAGCAAAACAAACAAACTTTTTTCTAGAAACAAGTTTGTTTGCTTTGGGCTTGTTATGATTGTTTTAAACAACCAGAAAGGTGTGAATACTTATACTCCGATTTAGTCGTTTTTCATATCTTTGTTTCTGTTTTAAATTATATTTAATACGTGTTTTCTGTCTATCCAAAACAATAGTCCAGGTGTTCTCATTTCTAAATGCAGAAGTAACCTTTAAAATAATCAGTAGTCAAAGAAATGGTTTATTAATTAGATCTGCTTACTTACCTAATGGATTTAATAATTTCATAGAGATGGAATTCTAGGCACCCATTGACTAACTTCTTAAATAATACCAAAGAGAAAAAGAATCTGACTGATTTGTAAATGAGAGGGTGTTATATATATATGTAAATATTCTAAAAAAATAATGATTGACAATTCATTTAGTTCTTGATTGTACAGAATTAGAAGTAACCAACCATTATTTTCAGCAATGTAAGTACAGCTGTCCTGGGTTGTTCAGATGTAACATCCTCAGAAAACAATTATCTGATGTGTGCATCTGCTTATACCGTGTCATTGATGAGATCAGACCCCTTTAACTTCAACCTCGTAGACTCACGTTATTCAAAAGATTCCTTTCGCATATAATTTTGGAGTTTGAATTGAGAAATGAATTATTAACTTAAGCATGTAGTCCTAATTTTGTTTACTAGATTGTTACTTCTCCTACAAATGAATGTTCTCATCTTAGTATGAATCAAATGTGGAACTTCATAAAAAACTAGCCTGACATTCAATATAGACTGAATTATGAGACAACATAGGTCATAAATCGTCTTTAGCCCTTTGCACTCTCAAGTAGTTAGGCTTAAATTTTTCTATTATATTACAAAAACTATCAAAACCTAATTTCTAAGATACCACATCAATACTATTACTGCTAATCCTGAGTTACCGAAGACGCTAAGAATAAAAATTAATCTTCCTTTAACTTGATACCTTGCAAAGGACACATCTCAATATTGAGGGGATAATCAATATTGGGCTACAAACAGAGTAAACGCTAATACTGCTAATTGGATTTGAGTCTCTTTTCCTAAGGGATAATCAATATTGGGCTATAAACAGAGTAAACAAAAAACTGATGGAATAATTAAGGGGTATAAACATATATCGGGTATATACTCGGGTATAAAATCTTCCCCTTTAATGTGATCCATCGACCATCATGTTTATTGGTGATGGCTCAACGATGATAAAACTTTTCATCCGAATCATAGATACAAATATCCAATTTGTATAATAAATTCTATCATAAAATTAACACTTCAATAATTGATACTCATAACTTGAAGGCTTGGGCTTGTTGAAATCCTCTTGCAGCTTATCTTCCAAGTTAAACAGAAATGGTATAAAGTATTCAAAGCCAGCCTCAATGGAGACAAGGTTGTTTTATAGATTGTATACATGAAAATTGAGGGGTTCACAAATCAATACTTTAGCCCTTGATCACAAGCTAACAAAAAGGAAAACCAAGGTGAACTACCAAATACAGAGGGACAAGAAGTTCTAGTAAACTAAGCTCATAAAATCTAAGCACGACAAACATGCAAGAGCAAATTGCCAAGAAACAAACTAGCTTAAATGGAAATGTGACATACTTCAATAGTCCCCAGCGCAAACCTTATAGCTCATCAGATTTGCTCAAATTACCACAAACATTGCATTCCATAACTGAGGATAGAGATGCATCAGGAGGCAACGGAGCCAATGTACCCCAGCAATTCTCTCGATTACACATGTATCTAAGGAAGAAATACGCGTGAGGAAAATCTTGATCCCTCTCCTCCACCTCGCCATTTACATTTACTTCATCATCCACGTCTTCCTCCATCTCTTCATCCTCTTCCGCTTCGTCTTCATTTTCCTCACCCTCCTTATCCATAGCATCATCCTCACCATCAGACCAATTAGCCTCAACCACACACCGATCACAATTGCAAGTAAAACCATAATCCTCCTTCAACCTTTGCTGCCTTTCCGAATACTTAAAATTCACAGGGAAATAACTCAAACAAATCTCCCTCCCCTCAGGAACATCATGAATCACCCTAACAACCATGTCAGTATTACTCCTGCTATTAACATCCGTATCAACATACTCAAACCTACACGCATTCGGAAGACAATCATGATTGAAAAACGACGCCATCGGATAAATCCCATAAGCCCTAACACCCCTTTCTCTATCAGCCTCAAAAGGTTCCATCAACCCAAATGCATTCACCTTATCCTTAGCCAAAAGAGCCGCAGTAAGCTCCTTAGAGAACCCAAATTCACCAAGATTCAACGACGGGCACGTAGCAACAAGAGAATGAAGCAAAAGAACATCACTTTCCGACACAAATGACGAATCCCCTTGAAGAGATAACAGCACACGAAACGAAGAAGGAGAAATCACTGCTAAATTATAAGCTGAGATAAGAAAAAAAGCTTGAATTTGTTGATCTACATTCAAATTATTATGAGAAGAAAAGGTGTTTCTTAAGTGAGTTAAGGATTGGCAAACCCAAGGAGTATGAGAAGAGGATAAAGCTATAGACTGACAATTAGAGGTACAGAAGAATGAAGAAGTGCACCATGAGCAAGGAATTGGAGATTGGAGGATTACCCTGAAGCAATTTGAGCAATAAGTGCTGTTCTTCACAGAAGCAGAGTAAAGAAGGAGAGGAGAGTCTTTGAGGATGATTTGTCCAGGTTTTAGGGTTTGAGTAGCAACAATTCCTCTTCCTCTTCCTTCTATTTCTGAAATTTTTAACAATTGATTGTTCTCCATTGTTGTGTCCTGTGAATTTTCTCTGAAGCTTCTGCCGCAATTAGGGTTTTTAGGGTTTTAGCTATGAAGACGATACTGTCACTTGGGGTTTTTCTATGGGGGAACAAATTTTTAAAAAGGGCCCTTTTTGGGATCCCTATTTAAGGCGTAGTCAAATTTTACGAAGTTTGTAGTTTAGCCATTTCAGTTATATGTAAGCACATGAAGTTGATTTGGGATTCCTACTAAAAGGCTATAATCGAAATTTATGAAATTTGCAAATTTAGTCACTTTTGATATTGCAATTGTGAAATTGAAAAAAAAAACTCAAGATATGTATGTCTCAAATTAGCATGTATGACTAAACTTATGTATGTTTGTATATATAATAATGAGGTTGATGTTAAAACCTTAAAAGAAAAGTTGTAGCATTGTTATGAACAAAGTCTAGTCTAATGTGGTTATCAAAGTTACACAAGTAGTTATTTGGCTGACAAGAGTTATTGAGCCGAGAACAAGCAATAGGGTCAGGTTAATTTGGGATATAAATCGAGTAGTGAATGTGAGAATGGTTTCATCAAAAGAGATAGTGGTATGTGATTTAGTGATTATGCTTATTGTCGAGTAACGGATTTGATTTCTCTAATTTTTCTTTTTAAGTCTGAGTTTCTCGTCCTCATTCTTATTTTCAATATTTAGGTAGCTAAAGTTTGAACAGATTTGGAATTATGGTTTGTTTTAAGTAATGGTACAAACGTGGCTAGTTGTTAGTTTCTTCAATTTTACCGTCACAGAGGAGGACTGTGGTGAGATCGATAAGATCTCTCCACCCTTAACGAGTTCTCATATTCGATCCCATTGAGTAGAGAAAGCTCACATAAGTAGAGTTTCTCCCTTAATGTACGATATACGATATGTGACATGAACATGAATTAATCCTCACATTCAGTCCACTTACTTTTTAGGTGTGTGACAAGATGTCATATTACAAAACAAAACTTTCAAAAGAACATCATTAAGTTACTGAAAAAAATTACAATAACAAATATGAACTAAGAAGAACTTGTCTCATTAAATTTGCAGTGAATATAATCCAACTCTAGGAGAACTGAGCTCGAAGATGTTCAATCACTTTCTTATCCAATTGAAAACCTTTAACAAGAACATCATCAAGAATTGGTGGATTTGAACCAAAGAGTTGATAAGGGATCATGTGTACTCCAGGATTTTGGCTATTGAAACTACTCAAATGTGTTGCATTTGTGGTTCCCATATTGTATTGAATGTGAACCATACTTTGTGGGATCACAAAAGCATCCCCTGGATGTAAGATCTTATCGAATAGCCTCGATTTGAAAGGATTTCGTGTATCAGGAACAACAAATCCAACATAGATAGTACCTTCCAATACCAGTATTAGCTCTGTTGCTCGAGGATGAATGTGAGGTGAGATTAATCCAAATGGTTCAAGATCAGCACGAGCCATCGAAATGCCTAGAGTGTTGAGTCCTGGCATTCGATTTACGTTCAATGCATTCACAGAAAAACCAAGATTTGTTGGTGTTGGCATTCCACTTACATTGAAACCTGATGCATAGAAATCATCTGCATTTGCTAGCTTTGCGTCTTTGCAAAACCTTCCATTCACAAAAACTGCAAAACACATGAATCAAACAGAACAACATTACAAACATATCCAGTGTAATTTCACAAACTGGAGTCTGGGGAGCGTAGCATGTATGCAAACGTTACCTCCCCCTTCATGGGATAGATAGGTTGTTTCCTATAGACCTTCGACTCAAAAGAAGTGTAATAAAAACATGATAGACAAGAAAACAATAACAACAGAATAGCAAGATAAACAAAGCAAATAGGTAATACCTCAACAGACGAGACTAGCTACCTACCTCTTCTTTCGTAAAAGTACTCCACACACGGCTACCTACTACCTATTTTGTCCTAATCCAGTAATCCTCGACCTCCAATATCTAAAATTATGTCTTGTGTAAGATGAAAATGTGCCAAGTGTAAAGGTTATCACAAATTAAACTAGATCTTTCCACTACCCACTAAAAAACAAATGGCGGCGGACAATTCTCGTAGCTAAACAACAAAATCTATTGCTAATCATATTTAAAACAACGAATTATAAAAAAAATCCTATCAACTACTACGAGTTATCTAGCGATAGATTAGCAATGAATTTCGTAACAAAGTATTACTTTTAAAAAAAAAAAAATTCAGTGTATATAACTTAAATTCGAAAAACTCCACAAAATAAAATAAAGATAGGTAAGTGATTAATTACCTGCAGAATCATTGGAATCTTGAACAGCAACACATAGATCTTGAAGAGGATCAAGATCATAAGCAGAAACAAAGGAACAAAAGTAAACACTAAACACTACACTAATTAAAATCAACAAAGCCATTTTCATTCTAATGATAAATAATTTGGCTACTAATCACTAACCAATCAAGAGTTAATATTGGAAATTTTTATAGTAGAGATCAGAGTTATATAGTACTTTAAAAAAAAAAGCAGTCAAGATTTAGTTTCAAGAATCTAATGCTTTTTAAGTTTTCAAGAAAGTGGTCAACATCACAATGAGTGTAATCCGATTAGATTAAAAGTTGGTCAAACTTACTTTTAAGTCAATTTTTGACTTTTAGAAATATTTGACTAATATCAAAATAACTTAAATTAAGTCAAAAATGACTTAAAATAAATTTAAAATAAGTTAAAAATCAAAAATAGATTCCTCCTACTTTTTATTTTTTAATTTAAAAATTATTTAAACTTGATTTTTTATTTTTAACTTAAATTTATTTATTTTTTAAGTCATACTCGAAAGTCTTTTTCTAACAATATAGATTTTTTTTTCTTTCATATTTTATCTTTGTGGCTTGAAATGAATGAAGAAATGGGTAGTAGGGTACAATGATTTCATAGATAGAAATATCTTTTGTCGACAAAAAAACACATACAATGTCATTATAAGTGAAATTCTTTTGGCTTAAGTGAAGATTTTTTTGGCGTAAGTTTAAGTTTAATCTGATTTTAATATAGATATTAGACATGAAGAGAATCAAAAAGAGTTTTTGTTATAAAATAATTGAGTCTAATATCAGAGGCGAGCTCGAGATTTAAAGATTGTGGGGGCAACATTATCTTTACGTAGGCGCTAGCAAAACGTTTAATGATGATTGAGAGATAATAATCGTGTCCGATTTATAAAAAGATATGAACAGTAGCGAAAATATAAATATATAGGTCAAATATTTTGAAATTAATCTGAGATCGCAATTATGGAAGATGTAGGTTCAACCAACTCCCAAGATGCACTTATGTTTGTGAGGGTACACAATTAAATATATATTATACACACAGATATATAAACAAATAAAATTAACAGGTGTACATATATGTATGGATTTGCCAAGAAAATTATCAATATTTCATCTCTTATTGAAATATCTAAAGCAAATCCAATCATATTTTTTGCAATATCCAACAACCAAGATGATAAATAACATGCATGAATTGTCATAATCAATATTTATAACAAAGTAATTAATTAATGGATGATCTTCTGCTTTATAGAAGTTAGAAGAAGCAGGGCCGGCTTTAATATAAAGCAACTAAAGCAAAAGTCTTTAGGCCCCTTAATTATGTAGACACCTTTTTTTATTAGTCATGAATTAAAAATAATAATAATTAAAGATAGAGTAGTTTTAAATGAAATCGTAGTACAATACTTTTATTTAAAAAGGGAGGAAAATAATGTTTTAATGATGATTCCAACGGTAATACATGTAAAAAATTATTCCATTGAACGTACTCCCTTCTGAATGTAAAAATAGCAATATGAACTAAATATTTAATCCAAATCAAAGAACTTACGCGTAAGAGTCCAGACAAATGATTAATATTCAGACGGAAGTATTAAAACAATAGTTTTTCATATATTGGTATTTTTCATTACAACAATTTGGTCCTTTTATTAGGACCAAAAAATGCATTTTATTTAACCATACAAACATATTTGATACTACTATTACATGATCATTAAGGTGACTCAAAGTCTATCATCATTGATCCACCATCCTCCTCATATTTAGACTCATATATATAATCAGGATCAGGATCAGGTTCACCGGTTATGTAATCTTTCTTGTTTGGCTGATTAGAGACAGAATTAACCTCATTATTGGTATATTTGTTGGGTTGATCAGCATAAGTAAGTGTGGTAAGGACCATTAATCCAAGGAACATGATTAGCAAACATTTGGAGGGTGACATGTTTGCAATGTTAATGTGTTTTTGTTAAACTAAAGTTCATTGTGGTCTTCTTTATAGTATCTTGTCTTGATAGGAACATGAAATTTGTGTGATGTTTTGTTTCCTTATATTGAGGAATTCACTATATAGATATGAGAAGAATAAAGCGTAAGGACAGAAAATACTTAACCGCAATCAGAGCTTAAACTAAATTGCTAAGTAATTTTAATCGTAAGAGTCACGAATTAAAATTATACCTAAAAAAAAGAAGCAAAATTATAAAGTTATGGCCTGTAGCAGGGGAGGTAGAAATAGCATCAGTGAGAGTGCATAATGACAGTAATAAAACTCGTTGGGCGGAAATTAGCTGAGTCAAACAGACTCATAATGACTTAGAGCTCAACTCCGTCCAACTTTTACTAAGTTTTAATTTTATATTTATTCTTATAATTTGGTTAACTACCAAATCTTTTTTTGTCTTTATTCACATATCAAATGAATAAATTATTTTAATATTTTAATAAAAAAATTCATATGTCAAATTGGGCTAAGGTTAAATCAACCCCATTGTTAGGTAGACTATGTTATTCTTGCAATTCAAGATATAAACAGAAATGAATATAATGAAGGAAAAAAAATATTGACTATAGAAAATTGTTTTCTTTAAGAATTTAATCCATTTACACTTGCTTAAGGTTTGGATTAATTTCTCCCAGAATAGAATGGAACACTGTTTTAATATATTGACAATTGAAATTGTAGAATTTCAGCGAACGCACTAAACATAGTAAATCATATGATACTTATTGTTTTTCTTTTTGAAAACTTTATGCAAAGAAGAGAAGAAACGTTTGAATTTTGAAGTAAAAGATTTTGTTTTTCAGTGTATCAATTATGGCGAAGCCTTTAAAAATTTATAATCATCAATAGATGTGAAGGCAACGGAAGAAAAACTTTTCATTAATCGAAGGAAGGTGACTTTTTGTTCAAAAGGAACATGTTTGTTCTACGTGAATTTTAAATAATTTCGTGAATTAATAAATTATTGTTAATATTAGAAAAAAGGAAATTAATTAGTGAAAATGAAAAATTAATTTTGTTCAAAAATTTATCAATCAATCACATTATTTATCGAAATCAAACATCTTACTTTTCAAAAAATAAAAGTGATCAAGGCTACGCCCATCAGGTCAAACATCTTACTTTTCATCTTATAATTTCTTTGTTGATCCTGATATATTAATTTAAAATAAGCAGACATTTCTATTCAAACGATATAAATATTATAGTAATATACTTCTTTGGGCCGGCAAATTTGAAATATATTGACATATACCCATAGTTATCCACAATGATTTCTTTTGTTACTAAAATTTCAAAGTTTCGACCAGTATGGCTTTTTGTTTGATAGTTCAATATTGACTATACATATTTATTTATTTATTTATCATATAACAAAACAAAACGAAAGAGAAAAACTATGGCTGTGAAAGCATAACGACCGTATTGGTTATTGCATTTTAATATTTAAAAAGGGGTCCTTTTGATTCTGGATCCTCATCAACAGTGTGTTAGGTAAGAAGGAAAATGTTTTCTATAAAAGACAAATAATTTTTTATTTATTTTCTTGTGTTCGACATATGAATAAAATATTATAAAAATATTTATATATAACCAAAATAAATAATGATATGAGGTATATTGAAGGATAGAGATGACACAATCAACGTGGGATGTCATTTGTGGAACTTATTTTGCCTACTTTCATTAGATAAGTCATTGTCCTCGTTTTAAAAGAACTGGTTTTTTTTTATAGAAAATGTTTCGAATTCTTTTCTTGTTTGATCTAGAGCTAAGGGTCTATCAGAAATGCCTCTATCCTACAAAGGTAGGGGTAAATTTTGCATATATCCTATCTTCCCCAAACCCATTTGTGGAATTAGGTATGTTGTTGTTTCCCAAAATTTTTGCAACTAAACATGGAAAAATTGAAAAACACTGTACTTAACACACCCATAAACAGAGGTGGACCCAACCTTTTGCTAGGGGGTTCATCCGAACCCCCTTCGACGAAAAATGTTACTATTTATACATGGTTAAAATTATTTTTTATGTATATATAGTAAATGTTGAACCCCCTTTGGTTAGTTCGTGTGTTTAATTCTTCAAATTTTGAACCCCTTATTAAAAATCCTAGCTCCACCACTGTCCATAAAGCTTAAGTGAGTGCCAATACAATAGCATAGGTGAAATTGCATGTTAGTTAGGAGTCGTTAGGTGTGAGGTATAAGATATAATAATCTCATAATAAAATGCAGGACAATTTAATTCCACGTTTGATTGGAGGTATTAGGCAGTCTTAAGATTATTTATCCCACCATTTATGCCTTAGTGATGGAATAAGTCACTCCATATACATAATGAAATAACTTATCTCAGAATGACTTGTTCCTGGATAAATTGGACTACCTAATACCTCCAATCAAACGCGGGATAAAATAGTCATGCATTTTATCTGAGATTATTATACCTTATACCTCACACCAAACGACTCTTTTAAGAAACCGGAGGCTACCTGCATTTTCCTTTCTTATAACTCCCAATTAGATCAAAAGCAGAAGAGAATATGATACAACACATGACATGAGCATTTTGTCCAGCAGTTTACATATCATAATTTCAAATGAAACTTAGAACCATAACAACAAAGCCCCAACTAAATAACTATACCTCCAAAAACTACATTATTGTTGATAAACTAACTTGCAATGAAGTTATTTGACCAAGCTTTTCCAGCAACTCGCGCATCATTGAGCCCTCCGATACCTATTTCCAGTCCTTGAATCATCTCCTACCTCGACTGTATTGGATGGAGGATTGCCATTCTTAGAGAACTGTGTGGCAGCCGCTTGAGCACCAGCTATTGCAGCAACAAGATTTTCAGATCGGTTGTTTACATCAGATGTACCGGAGCTACTTGGGGAGGAGGCAAGGGATCTTGGCTTCAATGAAAAAGGATCCCGCGGATTTGGAAGGGGAAATTTCACTGGAAGTGGGGGCACAACTGGAGAAATACCTCGGATTGCAGCTTCATATATCTAGAACACAAATTAAAACGAAAAAAGTTAAATAAATTAACAATGCAACAGGAAAATGAGTTTTAAACAAGGATCAACTACAAGTGGAAATGTCGTAAATCATGTATAATAGGGAAAGATGATAAAGTTTCTCAAATTTTAATACCTTTCTTTCCAAGTTA